TTTAGATAAGATTGCACCTAAGTATTTAAAACTGGACACTTCCTCCAGAGAATTCACATTCAAGGTAATGCTGACACAGGTGTTACTGTCTATGCTAGTCAGCATTACTTTACATTTCTCGGAGCTGATCTCCATTCCATATGCTCCTGCTCCTTCAAAATGTTTGTTGGTCAAGTCCTGAAGCTAACTGTTAATACCTGCTATGAGTACAATGCCGTCTGCAAAACGTAGGGTACAGACGGATCTACCATCGATAGAGATTGAAGAGTTGTATCATTTCAGGGTTTCTTGAATGATTCACTCTAGAAATAGGTTGAAAAATGTGAGTACGCATCCCTGTCTCACGCAGACAGTTTTCCGGAAGAAACCTACCATTTGTTATTTTTTCCAGAAGAACAGCGCTGGTGGCGTCTTTATATAGGGTCTGGATGACTTGCATAATTCCGTTATCTACATTGAATTCCCTAAGGATTTGCCAAAGACCATCATGCCATATCTTTGGCAAACACACTATGGGAGGCTTTAATTAGAAAAGAGACAACACTCGGTTTTAACTATCCGAAATTACACAAACATGATATCGTATTTCATGTGACTTAATAAGAAATATTGCTAAAGTATTTATAGAAAAGTTTTGAAATCAGAAGTTAGGAATACGTTAACAGTTTGAATGCCAAACCAAAATAAGTATAGGGCCATTTGGGGTTATAGTGTTTTTTATTTTATTTTATTTTAGTTAAACACATATTTTGTAAAATAATCAACGTAAATTTATCTCTTCATGGTTTAATAAAACCTTTATGCAGCAACGGACTAATTTTGTTTTTATTGTTATTACTGAATATATGATGAACAAAAAAAAAACACTCCAGGAAGCGTGTGTCTCATGGCCGGAAGTGAACTATTTCAATGTACAAATATACGCTTAGGCCAAAAGTTGGCGCCCAATTTTTACACATGGGTTACCTAAAACTTAAAGTTCCCCAGCCCTAATATTGCTATTAATATGGAAGTTATATGGTAATAGATAGCGACCGAGTTCGAATTCCAGTCGAATCCATTACATTCACTTACGTGCTAATACCCTTGGGAAAGGTATGGATCCTCTTCCCCCACCCCCAGCTATGGATAAATAGCAGGACCGACCGGGTTCTATAGCCTTGGATGGCAACTGGTCTACCACGGAAAGAAATGGCAACCTACTGCGGGAAAAAAATCTGCCTTGTCAGTCATGTATCATAAGATACATGATCGCTTAAGCGTGTATCACGCATGGCACATAACTGACTAATAGCATGGCTAAACTTTTAAGAAACCTTTATTTAGCAACGGGTTAATTTTGGTTTTCTTCTTATTACTGAATATATGATTAAAAAAACTTCAGGAAGCGTGTGTCTGTCTGTGAACTAGTTAATTTGTTTTGTAAAAGACATGCAACAGATAAGGTATTCTCTGAAATTCCGAGCAATATCATGTATTGGGAAAAGCGTATTTCTTTTAGAAAAGGATATATTAAAAAAACCAAAAAAAAAACAAAAAAAAACAAAAAACAGCGTGGCTTTGTATTTTGGTAAGGTTCGACGTCGGCATTCTTAATCATTTAACGTCTAATTTACTTTCTCTTTTAATAAGAGTGGCATTTTTTAGACCGAAATTGGGGTTGAACTGATTTTTATGCATGATTAATGCATTTGATATTTTTTTGCGTATAAGACCTTTTTTGTGTTCATAGATATTACAAAACAAATTCCTTACATTTGCCCATCAGAGAAGGAAACGCGTCGCTTAAGAAAAGTTTTACTTTTGTCTTTATTAATATTCTCTTTTTACATATATATTTCTTAGTTATATATGAATTTTGCAAACACACACACATACATATAATGATAAAAATATAGATTTAATCTAAGATATAATTATGGGTAAAAGTGCTCAATGTTCGAGCTAGAACATATGTAAGTATAAAAGTGGACAGCGGAGTCGACAACAAATGTCGACAGTCTTTTTCATGCTTCAGCGAAATCTTCAATCACATGGCCTGAAAGTTACATTGAAGCAGGAAACAGACTGTCACCGATTGGTGTTGGCCTCAGTGTCCACTTATAAACACTCTCGCACACACACGCACACACACACACTAACTCTCTCTTTCTCTCACTCTCTACACTTTAGATCTTGGCATAATACAGCATGAAATAGAAACTTAGATAAGTTAATTAGTGGCAGACATGAAATTGATTCAAACTGTAAGCGAGTGTCAACACTGTATCATAATTGGGGCCAAATATGACATGTTCAATTTTCCATAAGAAGCTAAGGGTGGGGTAGGAAGATAATCAAACGCATAGCTAATTACAACACAGATTTTGTAGTTGAAAATTAAAAGGCTTCTTTAAAAAGCAGTGAATGTATTTAAAACGTTTAAAACTTAAAAATGTGGAATATCCCCATACCACACTGGACAGCAATACATAGCTATATTAAGTCTAAATAAACAAAATAAAATAATCATTCATAGAAGGCGCACCACAATTCACTTACTACTTATGAACATGTGAAATAGTACTAACAAATTCAAAGTTTAACCATATTATAAGGTG